CGAACGGAATAGTAGTCGAGCAGTTACACTCCCAACTGCCAACCGCGGCCTTCTTAACCTTCCAGATCGACGAGACTGAAACTCTACCACTGCGCCACCACGTTGGTAGTAGATACCTATACCTACTACTTCACGGTAGACATAGTAACGTAGCTATACGACGGGATAAAATGGGCCTCTGTTACAGCTAAGGTACTGTCAGGTGAATAACGTCTGATACAAAACATCGCTTGATCTCTTTGAAGTCTTCGAAAAACATAGTAAAAACCGTTTTTTTTTTCTATTTATCTTTTCATATATATACATGTATGTAAAAAAAGTAAGCAAAATATTAAATATGTGTAATACGACAACTTAACTTCTGAAAACAAGAAAAAACGCGGTATCTCGAAAGGGAAGCAAAATTGGCTGAAAATAAAAATTTACAAAATCTTTGAAAAATGTTTGTCACAATATAACCTCTAAAAATTTTAAAAACAGTCATATCTCAAAAAGGAAGCTAGATACACCCAAAGTAACTTTTTTTACAGGTTTTTATATAGAGGTAATTCATGATCAACGTGCACAAATAGAGGGGGGTTAGATTTTTTACAAACGTAACCTTAATTTTTTGGTTTTTTTATTGTATCTTGAAAAAAACAAGTCAAAAAATAATATTGGAATGGAAACTTGATAGTTTTGAGCATGACTATTCATTCATAATTTATTTACATCTATTAATATTTTGCTGTCTTGCTGACAGCCTCTTCAGGATCCAAATCATGTAGGTGCTAAGATAACACGAATCATGTTATCTTTGCATTTCTTTGTTGAGTTTGCATTTCGAAATTATTTGATGAGAAAGGAGCAAGTAAAAGGAGTCTATAGATATGTAAAACAAGTCAAAAAATGTTTTTTATTTAGTATGGCATCTTTGGAAAATTAATACGGACATTCACAAAATCTTCGAAAAATTTTTGGTACTACATAACCTCCTTAAATTAGAAAAACAGTCGTATCTCGAAATGGAAGCCAGATAGGCCAAAAACAATTTCACGAATAAAAAATAATTATTGAGGTGCGAAAATACGTTACACGGATAAATATAAATAATCGTAATAATTCTGAAAATCATAAGTCATATCTGGAAGATAAAATTACAAGCTTCATATCCTATCTGTAAATTAATTTATTTTCTGTTCTCTGTAAGGTATTATAAGAAACCTATATTCTTTTTATTAATTTTGAGATCAGTAGAAATTAGTTGGGCAAGGGTGAGTTTTAATGTTAAATTATAAGTTATTATAGGAAACTAATTTCAAGATAAGTAGAAATTAATTGTGAGCACGGGTGAATAAAGCAACTTGAATAAAAAATTACAACTATATCATGGAAAATAGCTATATTTTTATTGTTTTCCTTCATCTTAATAAGATAACTAAGGATTTTACTTTTACTTTTACGGTAGCAAAAATTTAAAAAATGTTCATGTGTCGAATACAAAGTTTTCAACAGTTATTTATTCTACATATATGATATCATATCAAACGCACGAATGTTAATTTTTAAATAAAAGTAATTTTTGTCCTGGGTTATGGGACATAAGAACCTTTCGGCACAGTATGGTGAAAATTTTTGCTTTATTCTGCATTACATGACCAACAATTTGTACATGTATAACGTATATCATAGCAAACCTGAAAGTTGTAAGAATGCGTGAATCATTACATAAGCAGTATGTTGAGGTATATGTATTCTATGCACGTGCGTGATCGAAAACGTAATAATATTAAAATTTTCACTATTTTAATATTGGATTCTTAGAGATCTATTGAAATTAGGTGTACTCTGATTTGCTCAGTTTTTATTATATCGAGTTTAATAACATTAGAATTGGAAGTTTCACTTTTGCCAGGGGTCCCGAGACTTGCACCTGGTTTTATTCTTATGCAACTTAATAAATCTATGAATCCAAGTATAACGAGTAGAAGACTAAAGAAGCCGTAATTTGACAGAAAAAAGTTTATGAAAGCAACCCATACAATATTTTTTTTTTAATGACTGATTTCCTACTTTTCTACGATTAATAACAAAGGGCTTAAAATGAGGATGGGGATAACAGTTTGTTACCAAGGGTACTTCAGAAATAGTTAAGGTTTTTGACCTTATCAATAAGATTATATGAATAATATTATAACTGCATTACATAATTCATTGTGAGAAGGTATTGTATTGAACAATACGTCAATTATTTCCTAATTTTTGACTGTATCTCTTACTTAAGACACATACTTAAGGTTATGTTTTCATCGTCTGTCAACTTATTTTTCTCCTTGAGCTTCAAATTCTGTTGCCACATATGGGATTCATCATATATAAGAAACGATAGAATAAGGCAGAATTACTCCTTTTTCTACTATAATAGCTATTAAAAAAAAAAAGGTAAGTTACATCAACACTTAAAAGGATTAAGTTCTTTACTAATTAAGTACTTTACTAATTAACACTTTAATTAAGGGATTAAGTAACTTTACTCCTACACCAGACTAAGGTACACATACTTAAAGTAGATGCAATTTATGGTTAGGATATAAATGTATTTAAACTTGCTGTCAAATAGGTATCTAACTTTTCAGTGGATCAAGATATGTTATTTTTCAAATGCTACGTCATGTTTGTCTTTAATAAACTACTATGATTTAGTGTTTCTTAGTGAGCAAGTCGCGCACACTTGTGCGCAGGTTCGCTCTTTCTCTCTCACACACCCCCTGACCAGAAGTAGGGGAGTGCCTTTTCCATTATTTTTAACTTAGGCCCTTCCAACTTCTAACAGCTTACATATAATATTTCACTGTGAGATTCTAAGTTCTTGATGGATCAGTTGGGTAAACGCTTTGCTCATTAGAGACTCTGCATGGACAAGTCTCCGATTTCTGGCTACGCAACTTTTTTTTACGAAAAATACAAATAAATAATAATTTGAACATCTTTTTTGTCAGGGAAGTATTATGTCAAACATTTAAGAACATGCTAAATAAATTTCTGCTTTATTTGATAGAAATTATTTTCTTTTCTACGATCACATTAATTATTAATTTGAAAGCTTCTTCCGAAAATAATAAAAAAGCAGAATTTAATGCGTTAATCATCATGCTTTGTATTAATCAAATACTGGAATTAAAAATTTATATACTTACACTTCATGCATTACATGCATCGATTTACAATATTGCAAACCAGACAAGTTTGATATAAATTTACTTAATGTGCAATAATACATAAATTATTATAAGATGCAATGTACTTTTTTCTGATAATGAGTAAGCTATGTAAGAAGCAAATTATGCAGTAAATTATATGTACTGAGTGATAGGGCGTGACAAGTCAGTAAGTAGACGATAACTCACTATTGGAGCGGAGATGTTTGTATATTATTCTAGCATGATTAAGAGTCGACTAGGCCTATGAGGGAAACCACTCCAAGAAAGAACTAAAACTCAATTGACAGTTCTTGAGCAAAATATAATTTCACTGTAAATTAAACTCCTAACGCAACGAGATTTTTTTCGCTGTATTCATATTGTTACAACATGACAATGACGATGATTATGATGATGATGATGACGATGATGATGATGACGATGATGACGATGATGACGATGATGATGATGATGACAATGATGACGATGATGACGATGATGATGATGATGATGACGATGATGACGATGATGATGACGATGATGACGATGATGACGATGATGATAATAATGACGATGATGATAATGATGATGACGATGATGACGATGATGACGATAATGATGACGATGATGACAATGATGACGACGACTTTATATTAATACAAATCGTATGACTTTTTTTCATACGAGTGTTAAAATCTTTCTAGTAAGTTATCTTACTTGTTACAGCGTGCACGAGTATTACTGCATTATTGCGTTCTCTTCGATTTTTTGCATGGAGTAGGCATAAGGATGGTGGTAGTGGCTGTTTTAATAATATAGTTAAGAGCAATTCACCAAATTTGTACAGTTGGTCAACACAATTATGATTTTTTTTTGTGAATAAAATATTAATTACGTGCTTCTGTGTGTTACTATAAGATGTTTAACTATAAAAAACAATAACTGCAAATTATTTAGAAGCTGTAGTAATAAATACGTTTCTTATAAATAAGGAAAACGCGTATGAATCAAACTGAATTACAAAAAGAAAATTTAAAAAAAGAAGTAGCTTGTATGCAAACATTTATTTTCAAGAGCATAAATAAAGAATTGCTATATAAGATCACCTTAGTAAGACTAAAAAAAAGAATGTAAACAGTAATTGTCGTATTATATTCATGAAGAAAAGGCAAATAAATTGAAAGTTTTATGAAAAGTATTGTACTAAAAATTGAAATACATGCTTTAAATTACGGACTCAAAAGTAAAAGAAGAAAGATACAACAAGATAAAAATAAAATAATGGATAAACGACTATTTCATAATAAATTTGTTCGGCACCAAACTAGCTCTTTCTATCAAAAAGTTCATCAAACTATTAGATTTTCTGTATTAAATTTCATTTTATTGAACCACCAGTTACAAGTTTAATCAGGCGTTACAAACTCGTAAGAATGTAGTTGCTTTGTTGGCACACAAGAAATTGTGAACCGTGAAATCGTCTCTATTTAGCTCTTTAGATGACTTTAATATTTTAACTAAAATGTGTGCTTTTTATTATCCTCATAAATTTAATTCATGGAGTATTAATGATTCTATCATTACTAGAATAATTTCAATAAGAAATACATTTTTTTTAGAAATAAAATTTTTCTGCTGAGTACATAATTTTGTAAATAAAAGTAAGACATAAGTAGGTGCAATATTTCTGTTGCTAAAAATATTTTTTAGTATGATATATCATCTATAGCCTCTAAAGTACTAATTTAGGAATAGTTGACTTTCCTTTAAGCGCTTATAAAATAAAACACAACGTGGAAAATAAAAAACTTTCTTTTAACTTTTAAACAATTTATGTGCTTCAGTTAAATAAATCATACAAACATTTTTCAGTTATTCAGAAAAAAATAAGTTGAATTCTATTATGTTGAAAGAAATAACACTGATTCTAGATCTTGTTCTTCATAGTAGATAACAACAACAAAAACTAAAGCTTAGAAACTAAAAAAGCCCATGAACATGATTTTCTTTTGCCATTTTTATCGCATACTTTGCACTTGCTTTCACACAGAATTTAATTAAATAAACACATTTTTATCTCCTTAGGCATAAATTAATAATTACATGAAAACATTCTAGCTTTTCATTTTTGCTGGTGCGACTAAGTTACAGTTCATGGATTAAAGCAGGCCTTCTGTTTCTAATTGCATTTAATATTTATTTCTGTGTATCCAATAATCATCTGAAAAAATCTATTTAATACGGTTGATAACTAAATCACTAACAACAAGCAAGCTTTGCTGATAAGGACTTTCAGTCAAAGATTGTGCAAATCTCACTGCTTCGATGCAATGTTTTTGTGCTAAAAATTTTGTTTGCTCTAATCCTTGAGACTTGTGAACCAGCTGAAAAGCTCTGTCAACATCATCAGGTTCTTGAAAACGTCGCAGTATCATTGGATTTAGTTCTGGATACTGAAAAATGTAAATATTATAAAGTACCTGTACTCTAAAGTTAAGGTTGCAATATTTATAAATTGAAATTTTATTGTTTGTATTAAGAGTTTATTTTAGATTACAACTAAAAACCAAAAATACGAGAACTAAAAAATACTTTGATAACCGTTTCAAGAATAGGCAAGATAGACTGGAAAAATGTTAAGGAAATAATTTTTAAGAAATTTAATCTTGTTAAACAATTTAAAAATAATTTCAAGACGGTAGTTCTTTGCTTCTCTAAACTTTTACATCAATAGATTGTCAATAACATTGTTTTTATATTGCTTATAAAAATTATGTTATTATTGTCTTATCCGTTTAAAGATTGTATATATAGTGTTACATCAGAAAAAAAAATTTTTTGTAGTTATATAAAAGTAGTTCATAAAGATACTCCATCCGTTATTCAATAGATAATTTTCTAAAAAAATTTGAAATGACATAAAATATCTTATCATAATAATATATTAACAAGTAATCTACATCGCTTATAGAACTAAATATTTTAACTCAGTGAATAGATGTAGCTCGTTCAATGTACAGAGAGATCATTGAAAAAAATGTACTAAGTGCGTGATTAATTCTTAAATATCAAAAAGTGTGTTTTGGATTATTTATATTAAAAGTATGATTTTATTATTTATCAACTGTAAATAAAAAATTCTCATACTTACTCTTCGATTACTAGTTTCGTAGATTGATAGTAGTAAGATCTTATGTGTTGTATTAAGCATCTCTAGTATAGTAAGTGCATTTCAAAGAAACATACTTCTTGTATTATTTCCTACTACTAGTCCCAGCTTAACCGTATTCCCGCAATTTTTCACTATCATTACCCACAGTTATAATTTTTTTTTTTACGAGAAAAGATGCTCCGACGCTTTTCTATACCGACTTTTATTGATTTTTCAAATTGATGCTCTTATTTCATAGCAACACTTAAAAATAACGATAATAATTATAAAATCGTTTTTTGTTTTATTCGTACTTACTGTTTGTAGTTATAACAAGTAAAAAAAAGTTTTCTGACAGACATTTCTTCTGTTATTGTTCTTTTGTTCGCTCTCGTACTTGCAGGTGCCGTAAAATAAGATGTTTTAAAAGTAACTTTCTCGTTTATTTTCTAAAATATACTACATGCTTAAGTTTAACTAACACTAAAATTATTACACAACAATATAATTCATAAAAGTTTGATAACAAATTTTGTAGAATTCTCAGACTCTATTAAACTATTCTGATACTATCTTGTTACATACTAATGAAATATTTAATTTTTTTGTTATCTACAGTACACTTAAGCTTATGATACTGAAGTGCAGTGCTAATACAGTTATTTCCTCGTATAAGCTTTAGCTAAATTTATCTTTCATAACATTATCAGATAATGTAATTGTAGAGTGAGACATTATATGGGACAAAGATCGATGCTACTTTCCTAAGTAAGTGAACACGAATACCGCTCTTTTCTATAGGCAAAGATAAATATCACTTTTATGCTCTCAAGTAAGGATTACTATAATAATTCTTATGGAAAAAAAACATTTTTGCTAGTTATCTACAACAGACACACACATAAGACTTATTCTCAGATGAAGGCCGAAATAACTCTTGATAAGTTGAACATTAATATTGCTCGTGTTTTTAAGCAGAGATTAACATTTTTCTTTCTAAAACTTAACTATTCTCTTCTTCTTTAAAAAATATTGATATCATATTTTTCCGAAGAAGAACATCAAAATCACCACCCTTTGTTGAGATGAGTAAGTGTGTCGTAAGCTGTGCGTGGTATGTCGGTCTAATAGGCCCGTATAATGTATGTGTGGTGGTGACGAGTGGAAGCGTGTGTGAGTCGAGTTCTGTTTCTCGGTAGCTCGATTGTGCGTGCGCTCGACTTATTAACTGATATAGCTAGTATGTGTGCATAGAAGAACAGGGTGTTGACCAGGAATGTAAAAAAAAAACACTCATTTTATTTGAGCCATCGTAGCCGTGAAACGTACTTGGCCTTGCTACCTCACGAACGAGTAAGAGTCATGGTATCGTCATTGGTGTGATAGTTCTTAGCTGCTTGGGTAAGTAGCAGCAATGGTAATGAGACTGTGTATGACCCGCGACCACACGAGTGAAGCTTTCATAACTACAAGCAAAAATTTAAGCAAAAGTTCAGTATGATTTAATTGAAATTCCGATCCTTTAATGCCACCAACTGAATCGTCATTGCTCTATCCTACTTATTAATACACTGTTACATCAAAGCTGCGCTCAACATACTTTTATTTCTTTTCCCTTTTCCCTTCTCTACGGTGCTACGGCTACTTAGCAGGCACACATGCAATCAAAGACTGCTCACAGAAAACTGCTCTCTGTTGTATCAACAGCAAGACAAAAAAGCAAGAGAACTACAAGCACTGTGTATTAAATAAAGATAAATTCAACTCTTTAAATAAGCTTTGGGCGTTAATCTCGTATAATTTTTTCTGTCAAGTAACAGTAAGGAAAGCTGCTCAAGACAAATCAAACTTGGACACATAAATGCACAGTCTCTCAGCGTACATCTCACTGAAATTCATGATTCTATACTATAGAACAAGATCTTAATGTTTGGACTCAGTGAATCTTTTTTTAAGACTTTTTCTGTCAAGTAACAGTAAGGAAAGCTGCTCAAGACAAATCAAACTTGGACACATAAATGCACAGTCTCTCAGTGTACATCTCACTAAAATTCATGTGTCTGTACTATAGAACAAGATCTTAATTTTTGGACTCAGTGAATTTTTTTTTAAGACTTGCATTTCTGGTTGCTAAGTCCATTTACCAAGATATAACATCTACAGGCATGACCAAATTAGCCGGGGATGTGGTGGCATAGCTCTGTATATACGTGAAACACTGATATGCAGAATAATTGAAACTTCATTCAGACTAACAAAATACTCTAAAAGTCCAGAATTTCTCCGAGTTAAAATGAAAATTGGACGTATCACGGTATTATGCACAATAGTTTACAGTCCTCCAAAAGCCAGATAATTGAAAAACGTTGAGACTGATATCTTTAACCACAAAAGCATGCATGATTTTCTCGATTTGATGGGTGATCTCAATATTGGGTGGAATCCTAATCAACCTAACTACAAAGTTCTCAAACAGTGCATGTCTAGTCTTAATCTAAAGCATGTCCCTTTTTTATCTATACACCACTGTCATAAATCGATATCTACCATCAATTATATATGCTTTAGCCCGATGCAAGTATTGCTGAAGTACCAACAGTTAAGCATTTTATGGATCTTAGTACACAATGCCGTTGTGGTAGAAATAGATACTCCTGTTTCTGTTATAACGCCTCGTCTTATCACCTGCCGATCTTTTCAGCACTTTAATAAAGAAACCGTAGTTCTGGACTTGAAATATTACTATTTGAGTCAATAGGTTGATACGGCTTCTATGGCTGATAAAGTAGCGATATTAAAGAATGGCATCACACGACTTATAATGTACATACCTTTATTCGCACCTTGAATGCTAGAGCCTATCCTATTCATTGGATAACTCCTAAGATTAGAGAACATAAAAAGAGCACAATCAGGCTTGGGGCGATTTAAAGCACAATCACGCTGATGTTTACCTTGATGTATATAAAGGGCTAGCAAATGCAGTAAAACTTGCAATAAAAAATTCCAATACCACCGTGAGAAATTCCTTAGATGCAGCACTACTAATGGTCAGTCCTAAAAGACGGTGAGATCTGTGGCCCTAAATGGACTATCACAGGCACCCTTTCAGCTTCCCGTTACACCCACTGAATAAAAAAAGTTTATTGTAGGGAATAATAGAAATTTATTTTTCTCGCCTACATAATGCAGCCAAATTAATCTCGATGAGCAAATTCTACTTAAGCCATATCAAGGTGTCTGATGTACTACTGGTGTTCTAATAAGCATAGTCTAATACCTGTGGCTCTGACGATATACCAATCCAATTAATTTAGGTCTGTCTACCTGTCACTATATTAGCTTTACTTTATATCTATGACACATCTCTCTTATCGGATATTTTTTCTAACCATAGAAAGTACTTCATTTTTTCCAATACCAAAAAAAAGCAAGATCCGTACCGTTAACGACCTTAGACAAATTAATCTACTTGCGCAGCAGGAGAGTTTCTTGAAGCTGTAGTATTTTGCGAGATATAATTAAACACATACGGTATCTCGTAGAAACGGGGCCACCGAATGAAGCGAGAAATTTTAGAAGTGAGAAGCGAGCAAGGAAATCACGCTCAACCTTTGTCACGTGGTGCAATTTAAGATCCACGAGGCTGAGTCAGTGCCGTATCTTTTTTCTCTCGCTTCAGGTTCTAAAATTAGTCGTTAATAATACGAAGTAATCCCCGTGGATTTTGAGATTTTGGCTCATAAACTGCTTGAAAAGGTAGTTCCTCATTATCAAGACAGTAAAACTTTTGCGGTGGTCTCAATGACGTGGCTTAACAACTCAATTGAAGGTGTCTCACTTTGTTCTTTAATTTTTTAATATTTTTATTTGCCCTTCGCGAATCTGGTGGTCATCGTACTTCCGGACATATGTGTTTGGATTCCCATAAGGATGGTGACGTTTTGCTGCCCATCTCTTTCTCAATCCGGTTGCAACGGGATGGCCATTTGCTTCGTGTTTGATTCTTAGCATTTTAAGCTACACATAATTAAACAATTAGTCATTACTTTAGGTGATTGTGTATAAAGCGCAAAATCTCTTTATTTTGTTTCATTGTTCGTTAATTATGTAATCGGAAAATTCGTGGCATACAAAAGATTGTTAAAATAAAAAGGAGCTATTTCATTTTACCATGCATAGTTGGCTCATGTTGTATTTGAGTGAGATCGCGAACAGTGCCTACCACAAGGCAGTTTACTTGGACCACTACTGTTAATTTTTATAAAAGACTAACCCTCTGTATGCGAAGATTGCTTGTAT